CTTGGGCTGGGAGCCACGCTGTGTGCCCAGGCCCCCGCCGCTGGGCAGGCAGCCGTGCCGCCGCTCGCTGGCCTCGCGTGATCTCTCTTGAAGAGCCACTGAGTTCCACGGTTTAACGGGTGTTGCGGCTAGGGGGGCTCGCAGGACTCCCTGAGGAGGCTGCGCGTTTGGGAAGCGGGCAGGCTGTTGCAGTCTTAAGTATTTGGGAAGGTAACGCAACTCTTGGAAGATGTTCTCATTGAAATTCCTTGTCAGTGCTAATCTGGTTTTGAGTGGAAAATTAAATTCAATGTCATTTCAGTTAAAGCTTACTCACTAGGTAAAAAAAAACCAACCAAACAAAAAAACAACAGCAAATCATGCAAGGTATGCAGAATGCAGGAGTGAAATGTCAAGTATGTTCTGTATTTAACAACTTAAAATTCATGAAATTAAAAAGTATAGGTAGTCAACAACTAAAAATGGGAAGACCTCTGGTTATCTGAGCCCTACAGTATATCTTGGCATTACAAACCAGTTTTATGGATTAAATTGAAAAAAGAAATCAAGTTTTTCTGACTTAAAATTCCTAAACTATCCTTTGTCCATGACTAGACTAGATAATGAGCTAATGTGAAGAAGTTACTTCTTTAGACTTTTTTGGTAACTGACTTGACATAGCTGGTTCAGTAGGTCAACTACTCCCACTTCAATTTTTTTTTTCTTCTCTCCTATCAGTTTAGTTTTCCTTAAAATTTCAGTGACCAAGTCTATTCCAAATATAGTTAATTCTGTATTTCAGTGTTTTAGTCAGGCCTTGTCATAGATGGATGTCTTTCAAATTACTTCTAAAATATTTTTATGAAGAAAAGTGCATGTATGTTTGCCTGTTTTGAAGTATGTATTTTCAAAAGAAACTAATTTTTCCAGTAACCTTGAGTTTTGCCTGAAGGCCAGTTCAGGAAAAGGAACCCCTTTTGCAGCTGGGATGTGTGTTTTGTTTGCATCTGCATCTTCCCCAATGTATTTGGCTATCAGCTTTCATGAAGCTTTGGAGCACTTACTTGTTCTGCTGTGTGTTTCTAAATCTACCTGAAATTTGACAGAAGGTTCAAAAACTACTGGTAGGAAAAAGTCTGCGTAAAGATGTGTACACCTTACTGTTGCACAAATGTTTTCATTTTGCAAAAACTAGATTTGAGGTTTCCAAACAAGTTTGTCTTCAAGTCCATTTATTTGCCTTCTACAGATTTGAGAACATTTTAGCGTCTCCTTGGGGTGCTTCCCTCTTTCTCCAGTTGGCTCTAGCATGTATCATGAGGTTTCTAAGTGTTTTTACCGTATCTTTTGATGCCTCCGAAGAAGAAACGTACCCCCAAGGCCAGGAAGACAGAGCTGGTATTCCTTGAGAGGCCGCGAGAGGGACCCATCCATTGCTATGAAACGCTGCTACCTTCGGCCGAGAATCCAAGACGTGTTCCTACAAAACCTGTAGACCAGAGCACCTCTGCTGCCTGGGTTGGTATAGATTATTCTTCCTCCTGCATCTCACAGCAACGGTTTTCAAGTTTCTCCCATATATCATAAAGTTATCTGTTCTGGATGCTGAAAATTAGTAGCACAGAGCTGAATCCATTGCAGCTGCCTAAAGCATAAATAAGTGTTTTGTAGTTAGAATGTGAAGCAACTCAAACCACTAAGGTCTTGGTTTTTTGAAGGCATAAAACTGTGATAGTGTATGCTGACTAATGTGACTATTTGTCTTCTGAAAAAAAAAATACTGATCAGGAAAATGCATTTTTCTATGGCTACTGAAAACCTTGCATATAATAAACATTAGGGGGAACTTTTTTGTTGGCTTGCTGCTTGAAATATTTTTTAAATGTTATGTGTTAAAGTACTAGGTTTTTTGTTTAAATCAGACACTGCTAAATTTGGAGAACATAGGCTTTCACTTCAGCATTATTTGTTCTAACATGCACTCTTTTCCATTTGGTGTTTTTTGAATAGTTTCTCTCCATATCACTCTTCTGATAGATGGGCTCCTCTTCTGGTCTGCAAAAATATTCCAGGGACTGTTTGCAGTGTTCTGAGATACTCCTTATATAATGAAAAGATTTTTTAAAATTTTTTTTTTAAGCAAACAAGTACAGCAAAGACAGACTGTTCCTATACAACAATAGTCATTATCTAGGGGAGATCTGTTTAAGCATTATTGCTGCTTGATTCTCTTCTCTTCACAAAGCAGGCTCGGGAAGTGTGGTTTCAAACCTGCATGAAACATCCCTTTGTTCCTGATGACCTAGGGTTATTTTTGTGGTGCCTTAAGCTTGAAGTAGGACACATTCAATTTTTTTCTTCTGTATTTTTTTTTTTATATGCTTCAGGCAGTTAGCTCTATAGCTTCTGAAACACTAAGTAAAATAACTGTTGTGAATAAGCATTCTTTTTGTTTGGAAGGGGTGCAAATATCCACACTGGTACTTAGCTCTTTGATTTCAAATATACAATGATTCTAAAATTCGTTTGAAGCTATCAGCACTGAAACTGTTAGATATTTTTTCTGTTTGAAAGTCCTGATAGGCTTGTAATTTCTTGAAGCATCCTGTGCAGAGTTTCTGTCAACTTGTTTTGGTGGCAGCTGATTTTCTGCTCCTCTCTTCTTGATATTATTTAAGTTTTTCATACCTTCTTGACTGCTAGGCTCCTGCATTGGTAAAGCCTACCCTACATGTTCTCTGAAGCCAGGAAGTCATATCCTCAAAGTCAGTGCTTCACCTATGTTCTTTTAAGTACGTTGCAGCATACAATTATCAGGGAATCGTCTCTTTTCCTGCACAAAGGCTTTGCATTCAAGCAGTTCAGTTGTACAGCGGATAGTCACTATACTTCATTAAGTTGCACTTAGGTTTTTTGAGGGACTATAAGTCAGTGCTTCACCTATGTTCTTTTAAGTATGTTGCAGCATACAATTATCAGGGAATCATTTATCTCTTTTCCTGCACAAAGGCTTCGCATTCAAGCAGTTCGGTTGTACAGCGGGTAGTCACTATACTTCATTAAATTGCACTTAGGTTTTTTGAGGGACTACGTAGTAACTTAGGAATGCTGAAAGGGATCTGTAGTTATCGTAGGTAGAACCCAGTTTGGTGTGCTCTAGGCAAAAGCAAATTGCAAGACATGGGACCTGACTCTTTTTGTGGATACCCAGGAAGATAAAGAATACTGTAACAGAAGAATTTCCAGGCTTTGAGTAATAGTGCAGAATCTTTCAAAGAAATAATGGATTGTTGAGCTTTGTCTTCTATAGAAAGAAAATTTCAGAATTGGCTTTTGCGTAATTCGTTACTCCAGAGATTAACTGTGTTTTTTGTTTTTCAAAAAACATTTGAAACTGATGTTTTGGGGGAATATTGTGAAAGCCATATTAACATAATCTAAGGTGATGGAGCTAAGTGAGTATCCTTTAAAACATTTTGTATTGCTCTCAGTCCAACCCCTACCTGTTCAGGAAGACTGAGGATGTAGTTCATTGTATCTATTCAGAGCTGTGCTAAGACACAGAAAGAAACAGGATCCAGCCCTGAACTGTTTTAAATCTGGAGCTGTTACAGGAGTAGAGACCAGTTAGAGTTTTCTTTAAAACCCAGATCTTGAGTTCTTTTTAAGCTGCCAGAAAATAGCTCACTTGCACCCCAATCACTTTTCAGAGAAGAGTGGCAGAATGTGACGTTGAAGTTAAGAGGTATCTCCTGCTTAGCAGCTTGATTAGTGACTGATTTGCTTTGCTGCAGACCAGATTATCCACTTAATGAACACACTGAAAAAGGGTGGGATAAGTGGGGGAGTAGAATCAGGTTGGTGTTCCTTTGTCTGGAGAAAACTGTTGGGTTTTTTCTTATTATTATTATATCTTTCCTTTCAGGTGTGCCCACAATTTGAAACAACTAAGTCAGTGGTGTTGAAAGCATGCCAGAAGAAGCATCATGGTCCTCCCAAACCCCAGAATCAGGGTGCCAACCACAGTATGCTTCATGCAGGAGGAGCGTGTCGAAAAGCTACAGCCTGCAAATGGCCTCCTTTAACTTTTGAGAATCCAGAGGGATATGCAGTCCATCCCTCGGATCATCCAAATCGCTCAAGAAAGAGCGTGCAGCACTCTCACAGCCAGTCCAAGAAAGGGACAGCAACAAAAGGCAACATACAGGTGAACAGTCCAGAGAACTGTAGAGAAACACCTTTGTTACCCGCTCCCCAGCCTGCGGAGCCAGAAGTCTTTAGTCCATCAGATGTACAGACTCCAGAGGTGCCTTCCATTATGAACTGGAAATGCAGTAGCACTCCGCCACAAAGAAGTGGCCATACCTGGCATCGAGAAAAAGAGCTGGCATTTGGCATTGATCCCTGTGGGAGCGGGGAGTCAGCAGCAGTACTGGTTACAGATACTCCTGAGCATCAGTATGGAGTAAAGGTTACTTGGAGGCGGCGGCCTCATCTAATGAAATACCTACAGGAGAAAGGAAAGCTGAGTGCTGCTGACATACTGGTGAAGGTGAACCCCAAGCTCAAGGAAACAGGCCAATGTCTGACTTGGTGGGAGCAGTAATTTTGTTACGTGCAAACATACGTCCGAATACACAATGTTACTTTCGAGGACGAAGGGAGATGATTTAAGCCGAGCCCTGTGCTACGGCTGGCTGATCCTCCCGAGAAACACCACAAAGGTGTGGGGGTTGTCGGGAGTATGTCGGGCCGGGCTTCCGTGCGGAACTTGGTGGATCTGAAACGAGCTTTCTAATCTACGGGGCTTCTG